GCCTGTAGGATTTCTCCTTTTTCCAATAAAGTACCTGGAACATGATCAGACGTCCCACTGTTTGCATTTGGGCCCATTGCAACAAACCCATGTCATCTGCTATTTGAAGAAGTATCCCTTTTCTAAGTGGAATAATTTAGCTCTACATATGTTAGGTGCATTGGGTTAAGCAAACCCTGTGAAATTTGATTCAGCCTTTCTCTGCATTAGCCAGACCTGTGAAGTTTGGTGCAAACTATAAGACTAAGCAGTCTGAAAGAAAAAAAACCTTCTAGATACATGAGTCATGCAACGTCTACGCAGGTCATGAACTGCAGCTCTTTCAACTTGCCTTCCCACCAGTCTGGAAAAGAAAATATGAGGTACTTATAAACATTTTATTTTAGCTTACTTTCAAATAAACATTTTATTTTCACTCACAGATTTCCAAACGGGCCTAATAAGGAAGCAAACTTTTTTCTGTCTCAGCATCGGGCTTTTGGTCTGCATGAAGCAAACGCATGACTAGAATAAACCAACTGTGGCCACTAATGAGGACCTTGTGGGTACACATTCCTTTCAGGATGTGTCTGCGTGGAAATGTTTCTGCAAGTATGGGCAAGAAGAAGAAATGTTTTGCACACTGTCCAGATTGTTGCACTCACAGAACATTACCTCAAACGACCCTCCTAAAATATGATCAAAGAAAATGAAATCCACATTTTATTTAGTGGTATGCATGAATTCTCCTTCCCCTTCGGGGCTGAGCTTTTGAACTGGCAATTTCAACTCTGTCCGTGTGGATGGGTTCATGCATAGCTATACGCTTTTTCTGCCTAATTTTTTTATTTTTATTTTTTAACTCGGTCAACTGCATAGCTTTACTCCAGGCCAAGTCATTAGCCGCTAAAATAAAGCAGCTTTGTTTTGTTGTCATGGTCCGCAAAATTCTATTTAAAATCCGGCTCCTTTCCAATGAGCCGACAAAGAAAAACAGAAGAAGCGCACTCGCAGTACGGAGCGTGGAACAAACTGCTCCTGTGTCTACACTGATCCCAATTAGTCAGAACGTCCTGAAGCAGAACGGGACATGCTCATTTCAAACATGAGCTGCATGAAAGAAGCTTGATTGTCTTCTAAAGTAGAGTTAGTGTTTGAAAGAGTCAGTGGATAACTTGGATAACTTTAACTTAAATTAATTTCTGAAGATATTTATCTAATCAGATGCTATCATTATTCCAAAGACGCATGATGGAGAGTATAGTCAAAGTAAACGTTAATTGAACATTGTCACTACCGCAGTTATTAGATTTTACCCTTTCAGTCATTGTCTTGCACAGCAAGTAAACACTCAAATCTCGATACTATATCTTAGCTAGTGTGTGTAAGGTTGTGCTAACTGGTAAAAGGCATCTGATGGAGTCTGTAATAAGCTAATAGTCAAAAAACATAAAATCATAGTCCTCTTTTTTTTTATTCTTTTTGCTCAAACATGTTTCTTTTCACTAAACAGAGAAAGACATCTTTAGTTTAGACTTTGTGTCATTTCTGTACCTTTTGTGTATCTTTACTAATCAGCTGTTCTTTTAATGTCAAATAAAAAAAGTTTTGAAGCTCTTGACTGACCTCTAGTGGAAATCCTGATCAATGACAGCAGATGGAGTAGCAGCAAATGGAATCAAAATATGACTATCTCAATGTTACCTTGAAAACTCATTTATTGGTTAGTAATGAGAATTTTTACACAGAACAGGGATATTTATTCACATTCAAACCACAAAATTCAATATATTTAGATATAGATATATAGAGAGTTGAATCCCTAAGCAAGCACTTTCTATATTCGCTGATCACCAAACTTTTTTTGTTTTTCCTTTTGTTCTTTACAGTTTGGCCACAGACATGTTTTCTCAGGTGTCATGTTGGGTAAAAGCTCTGTATCTCTAAACCACTTGAAGCAGATGCAAAAACTCCCGACTCATGCCTCGGCGCCTGACATTTAGCCGTGAAGAGACTTAGATTCGCTTTTCTTCTTCCCTGCATTTTCAAACGAGCCGTCACAGATGAGGCGCACAAGGACGTCATCGCTCTCTCCGACTTCCTGGCTGACGGTACTTTTGTTGCTGCTCTGCTGGCTTGCTAGAAAAAGCTTTCACAGCCTCTTTGTATCCCGAAGCACCTAACAAAGCACAGCCTCGAGGTCGCTTTGATCTCCCGGAGCAAAAAGCTGCCAAAATAATGCAGACAAGGCACACAGACGGAGGCAGTAAACTCTGCAGAGAGTGCATCTTGGACTTTAATCTGCAGCTTGTTTTATTTCCTCCAGTTTTTGATCAAAATAAGAGGCCTTACCTCAGAAAATGTTGCTGTGGGGTTGGCTTACCAGCAGTGGTGTTAGTTGAAATTGTTTACCTTTCAACTTTACCTCTTATTAATAAATGTATGGAAGAAACTTGGACATGACAGCAGGTTGACTGAACCTTACGGGACAGTCGTAAAGCCACGACCTTCGGCCTTAATGAAAATTTGTCTGAAAGCTAATCATGAACTCTCCCTATTCTCCAGTTGGTATAAAATCTGTAGGATCTGGTTTAAAATAAAATGATGTATGTGAAGCCAACAAATTTGCAGCAGTTACCTGATGCTATCGTTAATTAGGACCGACGTTTTTATAGAGATCTCTGACAACAGTTTGAATATGCCAAGAAGAATTCAGCAACATCTACCTGACAGATGTCCAATGTGACCCTGGTACTAATTGTCCATAACCAAGTCAGCTGATGCACATCGAGACTTTTTAGTGATAGACTTTTTCTGTGTAATATTTTAACTGCAACACAAAATATGCATCTATTAATAATCATGATTTTTGCTCTCGTTTTGGATTCGATAGTAAATAGCACCACACATGCCCCATCAACATTTCCTTAAAATCAAACCCAGGCACTCAAATCTGCATTTTATGAATTTATTATAACAATGAAAACCAAATACAACAAATATTTTCATAGAAATAGTGAGTCAAATCCTGGTTTTGTTGCTAAGAATAGACGAGAAATTTTGTGATCCACAAACTCTTTTGATGGGACAGATTTGAATATTTTTTCCTGTGAAAAGCTCTAAACTCATGTTTTGTGTTGGGATTTGCTGCTATATAAATGCACTGAATAGAAATGAATGTTCATGAAATGTAGTATGTACATATTAAAGGAAATCCAGGTGTAAACTTTATCATATTTAATTCGATGGTAGCATATGCTGATGAGGACACGCAGTACAAAAGCAGTAACCAAACACATAACCTTTGACCCCGTAAAAGCCACCAAAACAAAACAGGCTCTGGTGGTTTCATATTTAAGTCAACAAGACATGACATTAAATGAGGACCATTACTGTCTTTTTTCTTCTTTTTTTTTCTTCCTTTTTTCAGTTCAGATTGATACATTGTATTTCATATTATAACATTGAAGAAACCCACAGAAGTATAAAATAAAAAAGTGAGCTGCTATACATGGAGATACCAGACCTATGGCACACTCAATTCCTAGCATTTATTCCAAAAGGTGCTTTAAGTCACATGCTTTGAATCTCCGTACTGATAGGCGGGTGGGTTTCCATGGAAATCTTACAACGTGGGAGGCAGGAACAAGCTGGAGTGCGTTTTTCCAACACTAGATGGCACCACCTGCATTATGAAAACCATTTCTTCTGTTATGGGGCTGCATTGTGCTGCCCTATAGAACTCAAAAAGGGATTTATATGAGCAAATACGATTTGTGTAGAGAATAAAAAAGTGAAATATTTGCCTGCAAATATTTTACTTCACAGTCAAATCTGAGAAGAATCGACCAGAGTAATCAATGTTTATAGATCAATGTCGTTGATCAGTTGAGTCTGAGTGTTATGCAAAATAATTAATTACTAGCTCTGAAAATAACATTTGAAAGAATATTTCCAGCGCCCTACATCATTATCAACACTCCTGGTAAAGATCTGTAAAAGATCTGAGACATAAATTACTTTTTTATTGCAGTGCATGACCTTTAAGTTGTTAATGTTTGCCCATATCTACAGTCAAAGGGATAACTGAAAACATTTTACAAGTGCTATGACAAAGGCACACATTTATCTCAATACAGTCCATAAATCTAAAAAAGTAGCTTTAAAGAAAACTGCATCAAAATGTGCCAATTTGAATTCTCCTTCTCTCCGTAGCATTAGGTCCCATCAGCATGTTGCTGTTTATGTATTACAAGAAAAAAAAATATTTTTCTGTCTGACAATTGCAAATGTAAATGATTGGGGTTACACTGCAGAATCAATACAGAGACAAAATAAAAATAAAATACTAATGATCTCTTCCCGTCACAATCCCAGATTTCACACTTAAATTATTTGGAAAACACAACTTTACCAGGGGTGCCAATAATTATAGAAGAGGCTGTACATTTTTTTATTTAATATTTTACACGAAGTATATATATATGTTTGTTTGTTCGTTTGTTTTTTTTTACAAAAATCAATAATACCATGAAAAAAATCTTTTTTTTTTCCAAATTTGACCTGTTTTGAAATACTTGTAAAAAAAAAAAAAAAAAGAAAAAGACATCTCAATAATTTTAATATCTATGCATGGTCTTTAAAGCTGAACTTTGTATTTTTCCATCAGAATCTGATGAATTTTCTTTTATTGACCTGATACTTTGGTTTTAAAATCAGATGGGTTTTTTTATGCTTGTGAAATAAAATAAATATTTACAAAATCTGTCCAAATGCCCATCTTGAACATTTGATGAAGTTCCCATAGTGGAGCTATGGCACATTGTGTCCGCAGTCCAGCAGGCGGCAAGAGCGCACAACTTACAGCATTTAAGCCACAAGAGAAACTTTCTACATTCAAAAGGAAATATGGTAACAAAAGAGGACCAAAAAGCATCTAGACAAACCAGCAAAGCAGGTGTGTTAATTTTACAGAGACACTCTGAGGAAAACATACATATGTTACATTATCTTACATATTGTACAGTCCGATAACATTTAACATTAAAGCATAATTCAAAGTTTGATCTTTGCAGAAACGTGGTTGAATTACATCAATAGTATGCACAAAAAAAGTTAGCAGCAAATAATGATGCGTACATCTTAGAGTTTGTGTACAAAAAAAAAAAAAGCAATAAAATGTGTTTAAAAAATGGAAAAAAAAAAGTTTTCCATCAGGGTGGATAAGCTGACTCTTAGTGGAATACTTGGGTGTTTTCTCTACAGGGGCATATATATTTTGAGGTATTTTTGGTGGGCTCCTAACTCACAAAAAAAAAGAGAGGTCACAAAATCCATACAAAGAAGAAATACTTGTGGCTCGTAGATAAAAAGAAAAAAAAAGTCTGTATAAGGCAGGAGCTGCGCATGTAAACAACTTCATGGCGCCGAGATGCGGGAGCTCAAAGGGGGATTCTGAAGAGAAGGAAAAGACAGAGGGGTGGTCAGTGAAAGGTTTTGGAGACTACAGTCTTGAGATCACACCAGCGTCTCCGGCAGTGTGTCGGCGTTGTCTGACGAGAGCAGCTGCCAGATCTGCCACCGTTCCCGCTGCCAGTCCTGCCACTCAGAACTCTGCGGAACCATCTGGCCCGAGTTGGTCTGCGGCATTGTCGGCCTGCCGGGCTGTGGCGGGGGCCGGGGGGGCACGGCAAGCTGCGGCGAGCTCTGAGAGCCTGCCACACGGTGATGGGCGTTGTAGGGGGGAGGGGAGCGTCCGTCGCTTGGTGACTGGAGGGGGCCCGGCATGCTGTTCAGGTGGGCTGTCACGGGGGGGTTAATGTTCAGGTGGAGCCGCGGCTGCCCCGTCTCCGAGTGGGGGGCCGTGCACAGTCGGGTTACAGGGGGGTGGGATCTGCACTCCGGTGTCGTGTGAGTCCGTTTTGCGTCCGTGTGCAGTTTGACGTCGCCGTGGAGTCCATCAAGACCTTCCTGAGAGCTGCGGGAGCTTTCCTCTGACATGTTGCCATGGGAACCTAGAAACAGCATCACATCATGAGCAAAAGTCATCATTTTAAATGAATAAGAACACAGAAATACCTGAACACTTACAATTGGTAATAAAATAATCATTTCCAAAATCATGACTAACATTCTACAGCTGCTTATTTAAAAAAAAAAAAAAAGACATCTGAATAATTCAATTAAAAATGTAAACTAACACACAGATTCAAGTGTTTATCTCGGATATTAGCTTAGAGAAAAAACTATAGAAGCTCTGTATTTTTGCAGTTATATCAGTAGGTTGATGACCTCAGGAGAACCCATTGAATATTTTTTATTTTGTGGTTTAAGTTTGAAGTCATAATACTCATGGTGCTCAAAGTGGTAACTGATTTGAAAGCGGTTACCTGTATGTGACTGATTCTTGAGAGCTGGCTTGAGAGTGGTGTGCCATGTGCCCCAAATGTTAGCATGCTCCTCTGAAAAAGGTTTAAAAAAAAGTTACTTTGTGTCACAGGAGAAAGAAGACTCAGTGAGTTGATAAGTTCTGCAGAGCTGACCTTTGGAAGGCTCTCGACTCCAGTCGGCCACCTGCTCCACCACAGGGAACTGCTGGTCACCGGCTGGACTCCCTGGGTCCCCTCTTCGCTCGCTCAGCACCGGCGAATTGTTGTCGTAAGGAGAAACTTCACCACTGGACACCTTGTTGGAGTCGCTGGACGAACGTCGCTCGCTCAGAGCGAAGGGCTCCTCAGGCTGAAGGAGGTCGGGACTCCTGCGGTAAAACCAAAAATTAGGGAACGTAAAGACGGCCGAAGAAAAACCGAGACATGGAGAAAGTGAATGAATGCGACTCACTGTGAGGCTTTCCTCCTGAGAAGATAGTCGACCACATCTGGATCCGTCTCCAAAAGGCTCATCAAGACTTCATTTTGCAGATCGGGGGGCACCTATAAAACAATCACATTGAATTCTTCAGTTAATGCTTAAACACCTCTAAATTTACAGCTTCCACTCACTAAGGCCTTAAGTCCATATTTGTGGAGAAAAAAGTAGCAAAAGTACAATAAAAAAAATGAGAGCTCAGTCTAAAAAGTTTAGTTCCTTCTCAAGTTATTGAGGACTCTTAAAGTCAAAACAAGCAAGCAAATGTGAATTTGAGTGGATATGTGCACCTAGCAGAGCCACAAACCATGAAGAGGGTTTGGCACCCTGCAATCATCCTCTGCAGCACGGCGATGACGGCGGTGCTCTCCTCGGCCCGGGCAGAGCTCTGGACGCTGAACTCCTTATCCGAGCTCTTCTGTTTGTGGAGCAGGTTGGGCCCGAAGATGGTGGCGAGGTTTAGAGACGTCATTTTGTTCCCTGGAATCTGAAGTAGGATAGATTTAGGCAACAAAATGAATGTTATGCTTGTTGTACATTTGTATACTATGCCTAGAGTTAAAGTACTAAGAGTATTTTTGTAATTTTTCATAACTTCTTAGCACTTTCCCTTTTTGATCATTTGGTCTCGGTTTCCATTTTGCTCCTAATGCCTTACATTCTACTCTGCTTTTCACCACATGGGCACATTTACCACAGTGTTTTCTTTTGTGTTGAGGCATAGTAGCTCATATTTAGCAACAAAATGTACAATCCCAGCTCAGAAATCTGAATCCAATTAACTTTCTCTTGTCCAGTTTACTCCCCTTCCACACCCGGTCCCTGTGGAGGGATGGGAACCACTAGCAGCCAAAAAAAGTAATGAAGAGATCTTCACAATCTGGTGTTGAACATCCGGACTTCCTGTGACAGGGTCAGGACGTGAGAGCCTTAAATCCACTTTCAGTATTTGAGTTCATTGTCATGTAAACACATTAACACACACACACACGCACACACACACAAAATACATTTTCATGTGCAGAAGAACTTGAGCAAAAACCGCGAACACTCCCTGGAAGAAAATGTACTCCTTCAGGGAAAAAGTAAGAAAAACAAATCTTTGAAACGTGTGTTAAAAAAAAAAAAAAAAAAGGTATTGAAAAGGTGTGGAAACAGTGATGAAAATCACAAAAACATTTTGCTGAAAAACATTTGGAATAGCATAAAACAGTTTCAACATGTTTTTATTTTCTCTAGTAAGTCTATTTCTGAAATGAAAACCTCATATGTACCTATTTGATTCCCCGTCTTTAGCCAATGGCAGCTAAATGTCAGTTTAGTTTGCAGATCTGGGAGTAAGTGCAGCCATTCACATAATATCTGATGTCATAGCCACTCCAAGACCACTTGGTAATCTTCCATCAGTGTTTGTGCAGAGCATTTTCTCCTCCAGGGCTGCAAATAGAGCCTGGTTAAACAAGCTGCTTCCTGTTACTTGTTTTTGGTTATTTCCACCAAATGAGGTGGAAATAAACCTTAAACAAACCGCCCAGAAGATGTTTAAGTGCCTTCTCTACTCAACCCGATACTTCTGTTCAGTCCTCACCTCCTGACCGTCCTTGGTGTGCTGGTCGTTGGCGTGGTCCGCTACAGTGGACAGGAACTCAAGCAGGCGGTGAAGAGTGTCGCTGTTGCATGCTGGGAGAAGGTAGATCAGCAACTGCGTGACGCTCTGCTGCTCATCCAGATCCAACACTGTGCCGCACAGATCAGGAGGGAATAAGATGGAGAAAAAGATACCCGTCTGGGGAAAATGTTCACTTTCTCATAGGTTTGATTTGTTCTTGTAGTTCTTAAGGTGGAAACGGTATGGTAACCAGAAAGTAGCAGATGGTCGAGGCTCACATGTGGTGTTGATGAAGGCCGTGTAGAGCTCCCGTGTTAGAAGCGCGTCGGGCATGTCCCTGAGGAACTCCTTCAGCAGAGCCGCCACGTCGTGAACGCTGTGCTCCTCGTCCAGCTGCACGTCGATACCCCGATCGAACTCCTCCCGCAGCTGTGAGCCAAGGAGAGGAAGAGCAACTTTCAGAAACATCCTCTCCACTAAACAATGGACATTATATTCTTTGAAGCGACACACCCGTACACATTCCCAACCTTCTGACCCTCTAAACGACTGTATCCAGACCACTTCTGCCAGTATGAGTTGTAATTTTGACCATCTAGCCTTTTGGAGGACTTCCAGTCTGCTCATTCCAGTTTAGCTTTTTTTAGGAGATGATTTAAAACGCATTATGATTTGAGAAATTTGCTCTAATCACCACGAATCATCCAGGACTATCTGAAACGAACTCAAAAATAAGATACACACATTCAGGTATTGGGTGTACACAAATAATAACATGATTTATGCGCAACAAAAAGGTTGTTGATCTTCAAAAGAACGTCAGCGCTTCTAAACACAACATACCACTCTGACTAAAAGTTCTCCCACCTAACCGTCATCCCCTCCCTAAGCAGCCGTCCATCCATTACCTCTGAACCATTACAGCAGATAACACCAATGCAGCTGACGGTTTACAACCTGATAATATATCAGCTCATGCTTCAAAAACAATGTAAGAAATGCAAATTTATGAAAGATTTGACCTGTTCTGTTTGACTGTGCGAGTTGTAAACCACGCGGGACAAAAACCGATTAATTTGAAGATCAAAGATAACCCTCAGACCTCTTTCCAAATATGTCTACCAGAAAGACCTGGCTGTTGTTTTTGAGGGAAATGATAGTGTTGTGACAAGAACTTTTGTACGAGGAAAACATCAAAGACGGACTGAAATTCATTATGAAGCACAAGGATGAACAGTTGAAGATGAAACCTCCCTTAGATTGATTGGAATCAGTGGAAAATAATTTCTCCAGACGTGGCCGTGCCAACCGTGAAGGACTTTGATTCAAACCATGTGTGAGGTTTTGTTTCATCCAACAGAATGGTATTATTCCCAGTTCTACCAGTTCAATGCCATTAATAAATGCTACTCTTTTTTTTTTCACAAAGCCCAGGTATTTTTTTTGTGTGAATTTCACAATGTAGAAATAACAAGACATCCGTCTGAAATTTTAGACCACAAAACTTAAGAATGAACCACCATCAGCCAGGATTGGACCTAGACGATGACCTGCATGCCAGCACGATTTCGTCAAGTCATGAAAAAGAATTTGCTAAGCCAATGCCAATTTCTGGAAAAGGAAAAAAAAAAATGTCTGGATTGAAGTGGAGAACTTTGCACCAATTGAAGAAAAAAATCATGTCAAATGAGAAACATTTTGGACAACTCACTTGTCTTACTCTCTTCTTAGAGCTTCCCACTCTGAAGATTCCCACAGTCTGCAAACCTGAAAAGAAAAGAAGAAAACAACAAAAATGAGCTTGAAAGCATGACGTGCGTAATGTTTGCACCGACTGCTCAAGTTGGGCATCTGCCCACCGTATTTCTCGATGTGCTGGCAGCAGCTGTCGACCACCCGGGGCACCTGCCGGTAGATGGGGTTCAGGCTTAGACGTTTGTCCCTGTGCTTTTCCTTCTTGCTCTGCGTCTCGGCCGGCAGGGAGAGCTGCAGCGCCTCGAGGAGGCGGGACTGGTTGTCGTCCAGGTCTGTGATGGAATCCACAGACATGCCTCCCTGGTGGGTAATCATGCATTTGATTCAATCTATCTCCAGTGAATTAAACAAACAAAAACAAGCAGGTCCATGTTTGGGATTCGAGGAGGGGAAGGAGGACGATTAAAGCACTTTCTTACCCTCCGGCGGACTCGTGGTGCAGACTCGGGGGTGTTGGGTGACGTCGACTCATTGGCCGTCTCCGACGTTGAACTTAGTGAGGAGTTACTGCTGGATAACTCTTTGTTGGAGGGTCGCTTGGTGGCGAACTAAACAAAACATCCAACCAGGGTCTTAATTTGTGTTTTTCTCCATTGAAACCCGCAATGCAGTGGTTGGGAAAGTTTTTGTTCCCTTCCAGATTGCTTGTTTATGTCTTTTTTTTGTTCCCTTTAAATGCTTCAGATTAGACAGATATAAGTTGGCTAAATACAAAATGTCATTTTTAAAAGATTTTCATTTCCATGCATGGAGTGTGGGATCAATGAGTTACACAAATGGAGCCAAAAATTGCAGGATCACAATCCTGCTACACATTTTCTAAAGAAACATCAGTGGATTTTGCGTTTTTGCAGTGTATGAACTCTGCAGAAAAACCTCAAAAGTCCAGATTGTATCTTTAAACTCGAGCTCATTTTGCTTTGGTTATGCAGTACAACAAACAGTGAAGATACACCAACAAGTCAAGCTCCCAATAACTAAAAACAACCTAAATAAAAGTTTTGGAGTGACTTAATCAAAGTTCATTCAGTCCTTCTTCAAATGTCTAATATATATTGTTTACCATAAAGATGTAAATTATGTTTTGTTGATTTTTTTTATTTTTATTTTTTGTTTGAAAAATCCATTTTGTATTGACTCAATTATCTTTTTCTGGTATTAAAATCTTGGAGAGAGCAATCACTTATTTTTTTTTTCCCCCCCACAGCACAGCATTTGTACCTAAAAATTTCCAAACAGTAAAAGTCAGTGATTAAAGACCTGCAAAATGGATGACACAAGATCGGAGGAGTCTTTGTGCTCCTCCCTTTGCGGAGGGTCCAGGCGGTAGGCATCCTGGCGCTGCCTGTGCACTCTGTCGTTGGCAATGACCTGGGACAGGGGTATGCTGAAGGCCTGGGGTACACACTCTGCGGAGAGGGGGAAGAAGCAGGTTCTTTTAAATTAAGACAATAAAAAGTCTGAGGCATGAAACTACCAAAAATAGTCCTGAAGATGGCAAGCTGAGGCTCTGTATCACATCTGTTTCAGCTTGGCCTTTTACGCAGACGCAATTAAAAGCACCAAAAAGCATGCTAAACGGTGTCAGTAAAAGTCTTGCGCAGTGATTAAAGCGCAACATCTGTTTTCCAAAATAATACATCAGAGGAAACGTGACGTTGCCGCCTTATTTTAGCGTTGTTGACCAAAATAACTTGGATGGCTTCCTGCCAAGCAATCCAGTACTCCGCCTGCTGGTCATTTATAGTGGCTCTTCAGGGGTCCAAAATAGAATCATGCAACTTTGTTTTAATCTTTTTAATCCAAAAGTACTGCAGACAGGGGGAAAAAGCATAAACAATGCTAATACCTGGGTTTTTATTTTATTTTCTTTTTTTTGCAGATGCACACGCATTAGTTTAGAAATGTGTATTACTTTAAGTCTTACATTTCTAAATCTGTACTTAATTAAATTAATCATAGTCATGGGGCACTTCCCTCTGATGCAAACCAAGTACTCATATTCCAGACCTAAAGCTGAAGAGGATCTTTCTCATTGTGTGCTTCAAACCTTTGAATATGCTCATAAAGACTAAATTCTATCTGGAGAGTGCTGCAATGCAAAATCTCAAAGCGCAGGTCTATGAGCGACGAAGAGAGAGAAGAAAAAAGAAAATCCATTCCACAGCCACAAAATGCAGGGCTGCGGTTTTCAGACGACATGACGGCTTCCACTGTGACACCATGTGTTTGCTCTGGAGTCTCACCGCGTTAAAAGGCCTTACATAATTGCACATAAACACAGAAATGCATTTAGTCGATGCAGCTCCCGATTGTTGGATTTCACAGATGAGTCCACAGCCAAACCGCATTTCTCATGCTGTCAGATGTATCAAAATAGCCCCGGGGGAAAAAGTTGGGCACGGTTTGAATCATGTCAATGCTAACGTGTGAAGGTAGGTGGGGATTAAGTTGCACTTCAACAACAAAAGTGCTAAAAAAAAACACCGTATGAAGGAATGTTCTGTGAATTATTTTGTTTACGGAGATGAAACTGGATCAGACTTCTGTATCACTCTGCGTACGGTCAACGGGCCGTATTTGTTCATGTCGATCTCCAAGTCTGTTCAAAAATCTGCCAGCGAGATTTCTGCAACAGAATTAATATTTTCCACTTGTCCATTTTGTTGATATCAAGGACCATGAAGAGAAGAATAAGTTTAACACATAGATGCATCTGAGCCATGTATGCAGTGGTAGAAAAAGACGACTACACCAGATTTATGACCCTTTCAAACTGACATACGTCTCGGAGGCACAAATGAATCACCTGACTTGTTATTCTCCTCAACATGAGCTCACATGTAACCCAACTGAGTATTTGCACAGCTGGAGTGGAGACGCCTCAGCGTCATATAGGTCTAAAACTGGACTGAAGGAAATAATGTTTTGTCCAGTTACAGTACATGTATAAAATCTGTACCACTGGTTGGCTTTTGTGTCTAACAATTAGACACTTTGAGTTGTTTTTCAATCTTTAAGATTTAAAATCTGGACAACTCAACTAAAAAAAAATACATAAACTGAAGTGGTCACATAAGTGTGGACAATCTTAAAACTTTCTAGAAACTCCGTTTTATATTCCTGGACTGCCTCTATTTGCATTAGGAGACTATTGGTGTGGTGCATTTTAGCCCTCTTGAGATCAACCCACAGATTATAAAACCAGATTTAGTTTTATGTTCTGGCAGGACCTTTCGTCCTTCTGGTAAAGTTGTCTTTTTTTTTCTTTTTTGAAAAATGAAGCTCCTCTTTAAAATGTGAAGTGTTATCTTTGTACCAAAAAACCTCAATTTATGGTGAAAACATTTTACTTTGGTTTTGTCAGCACCTAACACATTTTACCAAATGATTTTAGGAGCCTAACTCCCTTTCAGACCCTTTTTTTTTTTCCTCAGAGATTGCAGCTCCTGTCAATTTGTAATGTTTAAAACGCTTTGCTTACCTTTGTCTTTGCTCTTTTCTTTGGCTAGTGAGTCCAGCTTCCTTCTTAATGACTTTTTCCTCTTCTGTCCATCTGTCCCAGGCGGGGGAAAAAAAGCAATAAACAAGTAAATAAATCATGTGAAACAAATGCTTCCCATATCTTCGGGTTCTTATCTGACTCTTATGTTTAATAAAATTATGCCAGGAATGCAGACATAAATTAACCACACGGGAAAACCATTTCATTGAACAGTCAGGTTAGAAATAGTATCTGCCACCACACACAAAAAAAAAGAAATTGCTATCAAAACACAATTAGTGAGATTGCTTATACAAACTCTCCGCTGTATCTTTTATTAACTTTGGTTTTTCAATGCCATACATGGTCATCTTAAAATTACCCGGGCTGTCTTCCTCTTTTGATCTGCCTTGACTTCTTATCGACTCATTAAAAATGGCAAAAGATAAACAAACGGCAACAGTTACGTAGCTCGGCACAAAAAAAAAAAAGCAACACACGAGAAGTTCAGCAGCAAACGGCTCAGTTTCGGCTCACAATCACATGAGGATATTTGTGTTTGGATGGAAGGAAGCCACCCTGTCAGCTCCCAGCATGATAAATGACTCTTGGATCTGCTGATTAACAGCCAGGAAACTCTGGAAATGGAGACACAACCAAGTTTCAAGTCTTTCAGGGCATCTTGGAGTATGATGTCATTTGTTGGAAAGCCTTTAACTCCGTTGTTTGTATTGGTGCTGTCCAAAACCGACTGCTTAATGCATGAAAGCCCTTTTGGTTAAATTAGCATTTCTGGCTTGAGGACTTCTGTTTGAACCTCATGAGTTCTGAATAACAGTGAATCTCATTTAAGGTGCTTTGGAAAAAGGGTTATTTCCTTTGAGCTTCTTCATATTTTGTCAGAATACACTGACAAAAGTTAGTCTATCTGCCATAAAAGCAGTCACAGTAACTCTGGAGGAGCTGTAGAGATTCACAGCATAGATGTAAAAATCTGAAAAAAGTTTACTTTCACCATTTATCCAACTATTTCTCACTAATCTGGATAAGTTGGATCTCTGAATGCTGCCCAAGATCCCAAATCTTAGTTGTTTTTTTGTGATCTGCAGAACAGCAAAGAAATTCTGGGTCTCCGTGACACGACACCAGGAAGGGATGGGGTGCAAACTGTGAGGAGAAACTGAAGCAGATGTTGCAATGGAGGCCAAGGGAGAACGAGAGAAGGGAGATAGGAAATGGTTTGGATTTTTTGACAGATGGCTCCCAAAGCCGTACGGAAATCCCCCGAACCTCCACACTCTCTTTCTGCTCCAGACCCGTTTTGCAGCGCCTGCTGATGAACCTCCGCTGACTGTCTGTCTCATTGTATCGTCTTCTCGTCCGTTCTTGTCTGCCTTAATTCCGTCTTTCTTTAATCTGCTGTTTCATCTTGAAGAAACGCCAGAAATTCAGCCCTGTGGCGCTCGCATAAATATTATCTAAGAAAAATTCTGGGGCTGGAAAGCGAGCATTAGCTGAAATAGCCCTCACAGATGCGCACAGTTGTCCATTTGAAATATTTCCCTCGCCTGCACATGGCAGCAGTCAGGAGCTCTGGAATTCATAAGCAACACAGACAAGTATGTATTAAATCATGGTAGGGAGAGGTTTAACCTTCAGCTGGAATGCAGAGCCCTGAATAATCCATTAGCTGCTCAACACTGCTGCTACGAAACTAACTCCAGCGCTATACAGTGCAGTGGAACAAACGCAGCCCTTAGCGTGCGTGACGTGGACTGTTGCAAAAACAAGACGTAATCTCCGAAGGAAAGTACGGAAAAATGCGACACTGAGGAAACCCAGAGATCTGGAAACATGGAAAAAAACATACCCATTGATAAAAAATTAAGTTAAAGGAGAATATAAATTGCTTGCACCACTTGAAACCAGATCAAAGGCTCATGAAAAAGTTGTGAGAAAGCCAAAAGCCAAGTCAGCATATCAGAAACACTGGGTAGGATTACAACTTTTTTTTCTGGCATTATTATGACTATAATCTCACGAGATTACGGCTTTATTATTATTCTGACTTTATGATGAGTTTATTTTCATAGGATTACAACTTTTTCTTGTATTATTATAACTTTATTCCTACTATTACAATGTTTTCTTTATTATTACGACACTATGATTTCATAATTATGACTTTATTCTCATATTACAACTTCTCATAATATTATGACTTTTGTTGTTTGACTATATTCTTGCACAACTACAGCTTCTCTTCATATTACAACTTTGTTCTTGTGGGGGGGGTTTTCAACTTCCACACACTGATTTTATTCTCATGCATTTTTTTTTCTCGCAAAGCAATTATTTTTCTGCCTTTTCTTAGCCTAGTCCTAATACTGTTGTAATACAAACGACAAATATGTGGTTAAAAAGCGAAAGAGTTTCTTCATCAAAACGTCTGTTGACATCAAAACGAGTTTGGAAAGATGTAAAAATCTGGGAATCGGTTTGTATTCCACAGAACGAGTAGCAGAGGAAATGATTTCCATCTTGGAACCGTTGCCCCCCAAGACCTAATCTTTGCTACAGATGGATGACACACTCTTTTGCTTAAAATTGAGTGGAAATGATTAAATTTCTCCCTTGTGCAGTTTTTGACTCTTAGTGGGATGTTTAGGATGGGTAAGTCCAGTGGAAAACCACCGACTCCTTCTGTATCGTCGTGTGCTAGATTTGCAACAATTGTTTAATCTTATTTTCCACAAATATAGCTTTATATCTATATGAGTTAGCAGTTTTGATGAAAAAAGGAACAATCTCCCCTAACTGGAGACAGAGGCATGTCTCATAAGATGCCACATACAGTTTTGAGTTCAGGATGCATTTTGCAATAAATGCCAGATTATCAAGACTCAAACGTTATAAATCATATCAGAAAAACAATGTGCGCTTTGCTCCTACCCTTTGGGATGGTTATTTGACATCCCAGGTCATAGTCCTGGAGTAAGCGGGTGTAGGCTACTTCCTGCAGCCTGGCTCTTTCCAGCTCTGACAGGCTCTGGACGGCAACTGGAGTCAGGCGTACGCTCCGCCCCGACAGACTGCTCCAGGTGAAATCCCCCTGGGGTGGAAACAACCGGAGGGATGTTAAGACAAAATTAACAAAAGACTGAGACACAAAAGAAGGGACTAATGCACTTTCTGACAAAGAAGGACTTAACGTCCCACTCTCCTGGGTAGTTGAGTTTTTCTTTCCAACTCTGCCAGGATGCCATTTACTCACAAACAAAAGAAAGCTAAGCACTCAAAAGTCCAGGTGCTAAATAAAACAGGATTGTGCATTCTCTGTCGTCATTTTTCACCCCTATAAATCTTTCAACACAGATGTTAACTAAAGATATGTGATCCTTTTGTTGCCGTTGTTTTCCATAATTGCACAAAATTATGATCTGTTTCTGCTAAAGAGGGAAAACGGAGAATCATGATGAAGCGTTGATGAGGGGAAGGAATGAGTTTAAACTCAAACACAAAACGATCCTGATGTTTGCACTTCACAAAGTTAGTTCTAGTTTTTGGAACTTATCTGAATAATTCCAGCGTCTGTTTTTAAAACACAATGGAAACGGTGGACAAATGGAAAGAAATTACACCAATCCTCAAAATAAGCATTCATTCCTAACTTGTACTGTATTTACGAAAAAATGCATACAAGGAGGCAATAAAAACATGTTTAATCAAAGTAAATACTCATTCATGATTTTATGGAGACTGAATTTAGGAGCATAATAATGAGTTGCTTGAAACCTAAAAATGGACAGTTGATCCTTCTCAATCTCCGGTCATGCATTCTTGTGTCTAAGTAAAAGGGAAAGAGAAGATTTTGTAAAAATCCATTAATGCCTCTTTCAGACGAATGGCTTACCAATGTCCTCTAAATGTGTCTGCGTTTACATAATTTCATAATTTTGCAAGCAGACGGCACACAATTCACACAGATGATGTACTTTTTTTTAACTGTAGATCTCCGAGCAGCAATCCTGAAAACCTGACCCGCAAATACAAGAATGGTCACGAGTCAACAAACCGTGTTGCCGCCTTGCTGCATTTCATCCAGCACAGCTGTTCTGTGTTGTTGTGAGCGCATGCCTGTGTAGGCCATTCCTTATCGCTGACTGAGGAAAGCCTTTTGCCTCCTGAGTGACCTCACTCACGGCTCAACGGTGCACAAAGACGCACATGCCCTTGCACGACCACGAGTCTGCAGCGAAAGACAAGACAACAGGTCGGAGAAGACTGTGATAAGCGGGCCGCCGACCGTTGAGTCGGTTCCGCCCGGCAGGACGGACGAGCTTGAGTGAAACTGAGGGAATGCTGGTGGCGAGCGATGCGGGAGATTAAACGCAAGCGTGACTACTGGGCCCTGGAAGCCTGATTGACCTGTAGTGGCGTCCAAACCAAGATATTAGCCAACAGCTAACTTTGTTTGCTGTGTCATTCATGCTGCACAGCTGATGAACAATAGTACATAGCTTGTCCTCTACATGCCTAGACTCTTAGTCATGTGAGTTTTTCTGTACAATTCACAGCAGGCTGAAGCGACAGATTGATGGATCAGGGCATTTATCACATCTGTGATCGAAAACGAGTGGTGAAGTTGATGATCTTGAGTTACAGGTTCATCATTCCTCCAGTGCTCCTCTAGAGTTAATGAGATTCTGTTTGAGATCTCTGCAACTTCTGTTCCCAATGGGTGTCAGCCGGGGCAGGAGAGTTTGAATGCCACAGTCTTGTTCAGAACTGCTCACAAGGTCTGACCGAGAGATTTTTGCGATAGATCGGGCCCTTCTGATTGGTAGAAAGGATGATGTCTCTGTCTTTTGTAACAAAGGAATGACGCTAACCCATTTGTCTTCTGATGCTCACCTAATGGTAATGACTTACTGGGACTTTTAAAGAAGAACTTGGCTGGCTTATTATCATTGATGGCATAATAACTTTTAAATTATAGAAAAAATCTTGGTCTGCGCAACATTGAGGCCAAAGAACAGAACTATGCAAAAAACCATTGGGTCGGGATCAGAAGACAAACACCAAGATGTTGCTTTCAATTTTACTCATTACACATACTGTAATGTTATCTGAAATGACTGGCACACAATCTGTAAAAATATATATTTTTTATACTGAATAATAATCTAGACTATTGTTTCCCTTTTAAAGAATAGGTATGTTTGGACTTTCAAACCATCAAAATGTCGCAACACATATCATCCGCATGGTTACATAACAGACAGAAAACAAAAACACTAAGCTGATTAAGAGCTCAGTTTCTTTACTCTTCTTGTAATGACAGCCAGCTACTATTATGTACATATTAAACAGAACCCATGATAATTAGTTTCTGGCTGTATCAATAGAACAAATGAGCAGCTCAAAACACACATGCATGATAACATCACAGCCAATTTCCTAATATTGCACAGAGACCCATTAAGGTTAATGAGATCATATATTACTGGGCCACAAATTCCATTTAAAGACAAATGTCAGGGCACTGTGCAATGATGGCTCCAAAGGCATTCATTGTGTGAGATCTGTGTATGATGTGAAAGCAAACCGTTTGGATAGTTTGTGTGAGGACACATCTGACAAGCTGTCATTACAAGCTTCTGATTGTATTTGATAGACATGTTAAAAATCTTTGTGGCGTTGTCGTACCGCCATCTCGCTGTGTAACCCGCATGCGCCTCCCACCAAGAACAAACGTGGCACCAATCTGGGGTTTTTTTTGCAACCCAAGTTGGCTGCTGTTGCAGCTTGAAAAATACAAGCAATCAGAGCTTCTCTGGTTCTAATAAAACAATCTGGGCACCAAACTATGATAGCTAGCATTGTTTCCAATTGAACAAAATGGCCTTTGAAGCTTTGTTATCCTCTCAACCAGCAAACACCGGCTAGTTAATAAGCTAACATAAAATTGCCAAGGTTTGTGTTGTTGTTGCACATCAATGGAGAAATCCAACTTTTCTTTTGAGTCTACCTGCTTGCTTTCTTTTCTATAATAGAGCTTAAGCTTGGAGTTCAACAATGAATCTTAATAAGTGATAAGGGTTTGCTGTTTATTGACTAAGGTTATCATTCAGTCAATCTCATCTTGGCTTTGGACTAGTCTCAAAATGCATCGCTTAGCTTTTACTTCCTTTAAACATAAAACCTCTTGAGTTGATTATTGTCAATCAATTTTATTACTTGACCAGACTAATTATAGAAAGCTTTTGAAAAATGGAAATCTCTGCTCAGAATCTTCTATACAATTCTGAAAATACCAAGCTGTCGTTGCTGCAGCTATTTTGTGCTTCCATGTGACAAACGCTTTGCTGGAAAGATTAATAACTCAAACTGCACGCGCACCATGCAGTTAGATGACTAATGCCATCTGGAGATTCAGTACAGTGCTGCACAGCATGTGGTTTTTGTTCTATTTTAGACAAAGGGACAAATGGCGCAAAAAAAAATAAAAAGTCAGTTTCCATAGCAACATATACATACAGAAACCCAAAGGGCCAGGAAGTGAAAAAAATATTACTATGGCAACCCACTTGGAGGTCACACAAAGGCAGTGGGACGCATGTTGCTATGACGCACAGCTCAAATTATTGGACAACACGACAGAGATTTAAAACGTTAATGGCAGGCATGCAAATGTTGTTTTAAATATGATGTAAATCACCTCTGGCATGAAAAGTGTGCCAGAGGTACGTTCACATTTGAATAAAAATGAGTATGACGATAAATAATTTTGTTTAGGCAATTTTAAAGATCTGCTAAAATGGGAAAATAACTCACGAGGAAAAAGTTTCAATCTCCTGTGGTATTATATCATCTTTTTTTCAGTCATGTTATCATTTATTTTCATAAGCCAACAGATGTGCAAGGCCTTATTGACAGCATCATGTTTTGCTTCGTTTTCTGTTATTTTTAATCTGTTGATAAAATGTTTCTTTTAAGCCATAATAGTTGTATAGTTTCCTGTAGTTTTAATACAATCTTGCTTATAATAATAATTTTATATGTCTGGCAATAACTAGATAAACTAGCACGAAACACAAAGTAAGGGTGGGCGATTTGGACTTAAAATTTTATTACAATATTTTGTGGTATTATTTTGATGACAGTAAAAGTTATGCTAAACTTATTATTACCTCTTTAAACTTTTAAGAAGTGTGTTTTTTGAAGGTCAAGGAAGGTTACGGAGAAACTTTCTAACAGGGGACACTAAAGCACAAAAGGAGCTTTCCAAAATTTCACATTGTACTCGTGGTTTGTTTTCCTCTGCTTTACGTTTTGCAGCTGGTTTTAAATGACCCTTGAGCCGAGATTTGGAATCATAACACTGAGCTGCAGGAATGTACAAGTATGTTCCAATGCTGCTTCTTATTTCTTTCTTTCTGTATTGTTTGTTTTTTACAAGTTGGCTTTCACACATGCATGAGTAACTCAATAATACATGGATTTTACTGACCTGGAACCTCCCCAGCACTCACATCTGCTTGTAATTACTGACCATCGCGCCCTGCCAGCTAGTGATGATAATGTGTGCTGCAGTGTTTGTACACTTATCTGTCCCAGATTCACAGTTAATGGCCTTTTCCACCTGTTTTTAAACCGTTGAAAGGAAAACAAGCACATTTTTTTGGATCCATGTTATGCATGTTAAAAAAACTCCTTGCAGAAGCAATTTATCTGTTTTATTTTTTTTATTAACTCAAGAATGTTGAGGTTATTTAACCCAAGAATATGAGGTCATACCGTCGCTTTGGATGACAAAAACAGTCTGACTTTCTGAATAAGACTCATCTTCCATTTTATAATAGTGTGTGTATACTCCGTTATGACAACACCATGATTAGCATTGACTGCTGATGATTACTGCAGGGCTCCAGAGCCCACACAAGCTGATGTGACTAATGTTAAAATATAAAAAACATTTTTATGATTTTTAGCATTATAATTGCTTTAGAATTATTTTTTTTATGAGGATAAAAACTCTTGGATCATTCAGTGGATTATTGCATATTTGTTACAGATCTTATGAAACACAGTTTGTGATTCATTAGTTTG